TCTTTTCTTTCTCTCTCTCTCTCTCTCTCTCTTCTCTTCTTTCCCTCTCTTCTCTCTCTCTCTCTCCCTCCCTCCTTCTCTCTCTCTTTCTTTCTCTTCTCTCTCTCTCTCTCTTCTCTTCTTTCTCTTCTCTCTCTCTCTCTTCTCTCTCTTCTCTTTCTTCTCTCTCTCTTTCTTTCTCTCTCTCTCTCTCTTTCTCTCTCTCCTCTCTTCTTCTCTCTCTCTTCTCTCTTTCTTTCTTTTCTCTCTCTTTCTTTCTCTCTCTCTCTCTCTCCTCCTCTTCTTCTCTTTCTCTCTCCTCTTTCTTCTCTTCTCTTCTCTTTCTCTTTCTCTCTCTCTCTCTCTCTTCCCTCCCTCCTTCTCTTTCTCTCTTTTCTTTCTTTTCTCTCTCTCTCTCTCTCTTTCCCTCCCCTCCTCTCTCTCTCTTCTGTCTCTCTCTCTCTCTCTCCTCTCTTCTCTCTTTCCTCCTCTTCTTTCCTCTCTCTCTCTTTCTCTCTCTCTCTCTCCCTCTGTCGTTCATTCGTTCGTTCATTCGTTCGTTCTTTCGTTTGTTTGTTTTTTTTCGTCTGATGATGGATCGGTTTTAATAAAGTGAAATTTCTGGATGTGTCTTGGTCCCGGAGGCTTCGGTTTCACCTCATTTGGTTAAAGACGACTTTTTTTTTTTTTCCGTGAAACAGAATCTCATTTTAAACTTTTCTCTTCACCAAATGTTTCTTTGCTTTTCTCAAATTCCTCACAGAAAAACGCTCAGCTCTGCCGGGAATGTCCCACAGTGCGGCATTAAACATATTTACACATTTTTCATTTATTCGGTCACGCGTGTTTTTTTGTTTTTGTTTTGTTTTTTCATCGACCTGGTGGACGGGCTCGCCTCTCCGCGGATCCGACCCGCAGCTCGGCCTGGTGGCTTGTCTCCGTGGAGATAGACGGGGTTTTGTTGGAGCACCGTGGAACATTCCGGGGAGAAACGACATCTCCACGGAGACGGGCAGAAAGATTTTAAAGGCGCATGGGGCGTCCGGTCAAATGCTCGTCCCCGCGGAGATGTCATCGCTTTGTCTGGAATGTTCCGCAGTATGGCATTAAACCTTTCTGTCGCCATGGAGACCAAACCATCTCCAAATCTATCTTCAAAGGCCGAACGCTGTAACATCAGAATCTGTGTCGCTCATTTGTTTTTCAAAATAAAACCAAAAATGAGAAAAAGAAAAAAAAAAAACTATTTTGTTCATTATTTGTCTCCAAAACCAAAATGGAAAAAAACAAAAAAAACTGAACCAGGACTAAACCAAGTCCAGGACCAGACTGGAACCAGACCAGGACTGAGACCGGAACTTTGACTGGGACCAGACCAGGACCAGACCATGATTGAGACTGGGACTGAGACCGGGACTGAGAGCGGGACTACAACCGGGACTGAGACTGATACTGAGACCGGGACTGAGACCAGGACTGAGACCAGACTGAGACCGGGACTACAACAACGGACTGAGACCGGGACTGAGGACCGGGACTACAACCGGACTGAGACCAGGACTGAGACCGGGACCAGAGCAGGACTGAGACCAGGACTGAGACTGGGAACAGGACCAGGACTGAGACCGGGACTGAGACCGGGACTGAGACTGGGAACAGGACCAGGACTGAGACCGGGACTACAACTGGGACTGAGACTGGTACTGAAACCGGGACTAAGACCAGGACTGAGACCAGGACTGAGACAGGGACTGAGACTGGGACTTTAACTGGGACCAGGACCAGGCCATGATTGAGACCAGGACTGAGAGGACTGGACCCAGACCAGAACTGAGACCGGGACTGAGACAGGACGAGAGAGACTGAGACCGGGACTGGACGGACTGAGACTGAGACCGGGACCAGAACTGAGATTGGGACTGAGACCGAGAACAGGACTAGAACTGAGACCGGGACCGAGACCGGGACCGGGACCAGACCAGGACTGAAAAAGGTTTAGTCCTGGTTCAGTCCGTTATCCGTTTTTTCCATTTTTCATTTAAACACAAAATCAAAAACTGAAAAAAAACAAATCTTATCAGTTTTTTCATTTTGGTTTTGGAGACAAATAATGAAGTTGATTTTTCATTTTCTTATTTTTGGTTTTATTTTGAAAAACGAATGAACGAATGACACACAGATTATTTACGCTAGAAAGAGAGGGAGTTTAATCGACGACCTAACGACCCCAACACGTCCACAGTTGTTGGATTTTCTTTTTTTTCTTTCTTTTTTTTTTAAAACTTGAACTTTTAGAGACAATTTGAAACTAAAAAAAATCCTGCAGACGCCCTTTAAGGAGAGAAAACTGTCACTTTTAAAGCCTGAATAATGTAAAAAGCCAAACTGGACATGACTGCTCACTCCTGTTCTGACTGTACGTTTCCTGGCAGATGTTCCACAGATGTTTTATTCATGTGTCCTCAGGCTCACCATCAGCGCCGAGTGCCCCATGAGGCTCGTGGACTTCCCCATGGACGCCCACGCCTGCCCGCTCAAGTTTGGCAGCTGTGAGTACGTCCTGTGTCCTGAGGGGGGCGCTCTGAACGGGGAGCTCTGAACGGGGAGCTCTGAACGGGGCGCTCTGAACGGGGAGCTCTGAACGGGGAGGCTCTGAACGGGGAGCTCTGAACGGGGAGCTCTGAACGGGGAGCTCTGAACGGGGAGCTCTGAACGGGGAGCTCTGTGTCCTGAAGGGGGTGCTGTTCTGGAGTAGTGACTGTTTCACACTGACTGTTTCACACTGTCTGTTTCACACAGACTCTTTCACACTGTCTGTTTCACACTGTCTGTTTCACACTGTCTGTTTCACACTGTCACACTGACTGTTTCACACTGACTGTTTCACACTGTCTGTTTCACACTGTCTGTTTCACACTGACTGTTTCACACTGTCTGTTTCACACTGTCTGTTTCACACTGTTTCACACTGTCTGTTTCACACTGTTTCACACTGTCTGTTTCACACTGACTGTTTCACACTGTCTGTTTCACACTGTCTGTTTCACACTGTTTCACACTGTCTGTTTCACACTGTCTGTTTCACACTGACTGTTTCACACTATCTGTTTCACACTGTCTGCTTCACACTGTTTCACACTGACTGCTTCACACTGACTGTTTCACACTGACTGTTTCACGCAGACTCTTTCACACTGTCTGTTTCACACTGACTGTTTCACACGGTCTGTTTCACATTGTTTCATACCGAATCTTTCACACTGACTGTTTCACACTGACTGTTTCACACTGACTGTTTCACACTGTCTGTTTCACACTGTCCATTTCACACTGAGGTTTAGTGTAAATGTTCAGATATGTTTCATTTGGCGGATCACGTCACACAGGTCACACTTCCTGTCGCCGGGTCGTGTGACAGCTGCCCGTGTGACCTCTGACCTCTGCGTTCGACAGATTTAAATAAAGTTTTAATCTGATCCGACGCAGGTGGATTCAGCCGAAGGACGAGTCACACACGCCGCGAGTCAGGTCAGGGAGTCACACACGCCGCGAGTCAGGTCAGCGAGTCGCACACGCCGCGAGTCAGGTCAGGGAGTCGCACACGCCGCGAGTCAGAGTCAGCAAGTCGCACACGCCGCGAGTCAGGTCAGCGAGTCGCACACGCCGCGAGTCAGGTCAGGGAGTCGCACACGCCGCGAGTCAGTTCAGCGAGTCACACGCCGCGAGTCAGGTCAGCAAGTCACACACGCCACGAGTCAGGTCAGGGAGTCACACACGCCGCGAGTCAGGTCAGCGCGTCAGGGACTGGAGTCACTCACACCGTGAGTCAGGTCAGTTCTCTACTCAGGTCTCGGCTCAGGTCTCAGCTCAGGTCTGGACTTCAGGTCTGGACTTCAGGTCTCTCACACTTTAAACCCTCTTCATGTCTCTCCCAGACGCGTACCCCAAAACAGAGATGGTTTACACATGGACCAAAGGCCCCGGTCACTCTGTGGAGGTCCCCCCCGAGTCGTCCAGTCTGGTCCAGTATGACCTCATCGGACAGACCGTCTCCACGGAAACCATCAAGTCCATCACAGGTGAGTGCGCCTCCCGACCCCTCGACCCCCCGACCCCCCGACCCCCGACCCCCGACCCCCGACCCCCCGACCCCCGACCCCCGACCCGCCGGGTCACGGGTTCAGATCCCCGTCGAAGCGTGTGTGCACGTTCTCCCTGTGTGATGGTGGCAGAGTGGTTAGTGTGTACTCATGTGTGCTCATGAGTACTTGTGTATACTTATGTGTACTCATGAGTACTTGTGAGTACTCGTGTGTACTTGTGAGTACTTGTGCATACTCGTGCGTACTTGGGTATACTCGTGAGTACTCTTGTGTACTTGTCAGTACTTGTGTGTACTTGTACTTGCAAGTGAGTACTTGTGTGTACTCGTGTGTACTCCTGAGTACTCGTGTGTACTTGTACTTGCAGGCGAGTACGTGGTGAGTACTCGTGTGTACTTGTACTTGCAGGCGAGTACGTGGTGAGTACTCGTGTGTACTTGTACTTGCAGGCGAGTACGTGGTGAGTACTCGTGTGTGTACTTGTACTTGCAGGCGAGTACGTGGTGAGTACTCGTGTGTACTTGTACTTGCAGGCGAGTACGTGGTGAGTACTCGTGTGTACTTGTACTTGCAGGCGAGTACGTGGTGAGTACTACTCGTGTGTACTTGTACTTGCAGGCGAGTACGTGGTGAGTACTCGTGTGTACTTGTACTTGCAGGCGAGTAGTGTGGTGAGTACGTACGTGTGTACTTGTACTTGCAGGCGAGTACGTGGTGAGTACTCGTGTGTACTTGTACTTGCAGGCGAGTACGTGGTGAGTACTCGTGTGTACTTGTACTTGCAGGCGAGTACGTGGTGTAGTGGTAGTACGGTGAGTACTCGTGTGTACTTGTACTTGCAGGCGAGTACGTGGTGAGTACTCGTGTGTACTTGTACTTGCAGGCGAGTACGTGGTGAGTACTCGTGTGTACTTGTACTTGCAGGCGAGTACGTGGTGAGTACTCGTGTGTACTTGTACTTGCAGGCGAGTACGTGGTGAGTACTCGTGTGTACTTGTACTTGCAGGCGAGTACGTGGTGATGGCCGTGCACTTCCACCTGAAGAGGAAGATGGGATACTTCATGATCCAGACGTACATCCCCTGCATCATGACCGTGATCCTGTCCCAGGTCTCCTTCTGGATCAACAAGGAGTCTGTGCCCGCCAGGACCGTGTTCGGTACTAAACCAGGACTAAAACAGGACTAGACCAGGACTACACCAGGACTGAACTAGGACTAAAACAGGACTAGACCAGGACTACACCAGAACTAAGACAGGACTAAACCAGGACTAAACCAGGACTAAACCAGGACTAAACCCGGACTAAAACAGGACTAAACCAGGACTAAACCAGGACTAAACCAGGACTAAACCAGACTAAACCAGGACTAAACCAGGACTAAACCAGGACTAAACCAGGACTAAACCAGGACTAAACCAGGACTACACCAGTACTGAACCAGGACTAAAACAGGACTAAACTAGGACTAGACCAGGACTAAAACAGGACTAAACTATGACTAGACCAGGACTAAACCAGGACTAACCTACACCAGGACTAAACCAGGAACCAAACCAAACCAGGACTAACAGGACTAAACCAGGACTAAAACAGGACTACACCAGGACTAAACCAGGACTAAACCAGGTCTACACCAGGACTAAACCAGGACTAAACCAGAACTGAACCAGGACTGAACCAGGATTAAAACAGGATTAAAACAGGACTACACCAGGACTAAACCAGGACTGAACCAGGTCTAAACCAGGTCTAAACCAGGTCTGTCCCTGCGTCCTCTGTTTAATCCCACACCTGTCTGTTTCATAAGTCCGTGTGGCGTGGACCGGGACTTGGCTGGAGTCCCGGTCTTGGATCTGGACCAGGATCTGCTGGGTCCTGTTGTGAGAGTGAAGTGGAGGTCAGGCGGGATTATGTAAACGGACAAATTCAAATCTGTCCCCGAGCCGTCACCGGGACGACGCCAAGGACGCCGCCGTTTGTGCTGACGCCGCCCGAGTCCCAGCGCAGCGACTTTTAACACTTTTCAAAATTTGTCACGAGAATTTGTTTTGGTTTTTTGTTTTTTTCACGCCAAAATTCTCCAGCGCGCAGATTTTTTACAAACGTGACAGTTTCAAAATAAACACGAGATAAATTACTTCAATAAAAAAACTGAAAATCATCAAGAAAAAAACGATAAATAAAAAGAGTTAAAAGCATAAAGGACTGAACCAGGACTAAACCAGGACTGAACCAGGACTAAACAAGGACTAAACCAGGACTGAACCAGGACTGAACCAGGACTGAACCAGGACTAAACCAGGACTAAACCAGGACTAAACCAGGACTAAACCAGGACTAAACCAGGACTGAACCAGGACTGAACCAGGACTAAACCAGGAAAGACTAAACCAGGAACTGAACCAGGACTAAACCAGGACTGAACCAGGACTAAACAGGACTAAACCAGGACTGGACCAGGACTAAACCAGGACTAAAAAGGACTAACTGGGACTAAAACCAGGACTAACCAGGACAAAACCTGGACTGAACCAGGACTAAACCAGGACTGGATGAGTCCTCCTGGGTCAGACCTGAGTCCGGTCTGTTCCTCTCGAGCCAAACTGCAGCTTCAGCTTTTCCACGGCTTCATTAAAAACTCGGAACAAACGGAAACTGAAATAAAACTCTTGACTCCACGGAAACGCACCTGGATCCCGTTTATTTTATTTCATTTTATTTTATTTATTCCAACAAAACCACGAAGGATTTAAACCCGCTCCTCTTTTCTCCCCGGATCCCGAGAACCCGGAAACAAACACGCTCCACTTTCTGAACTTGAAACGCCGATCGGATTTAAACAAAAAAAACGTGAAAAACGAACTGTGCGTTTTTAAAGATGCACTGTGTAACTTTTCAGATGGGCTTGTTTCTATGGAGACGTCACTGCCAGGACTAAACCAGGACTAAACCAGGACTGAACCAGGACTACTGACTGACCAGGACTAAACCAGGACTGAACCAGGACTGAACCAGGACTGAACCAGGAACTAAAACAGGACTAAAACAGGACTAACAGGACTAAAACCAGATAAACCAGACTAAACCAGGATAAACCAGGCTGAACCAGGACTAAACCTGACTTAAATCAGCAATAAATCTCAGGTCTAAACGCAGCTGGCTAAACCGTGCCGTACTATAACTGGGTGTTGTCTTCGGGATAACCTATTAAGGACTTTCCTGAGGTTAAACTTAGATTAGCCTGGGTTTACTAGTACATCTACACGGTTTTGAGTCCTGGACTAAGCTTCACGTCTAGTTATAGATCTACCAAGGTCTCACGTCGTCGCTAGTAATTACAGAGTCCTGTACTAAACCGACCTGAGACTGATATTTAGTTCTGGTCCAGTTGAACTGAAACAGGAACTGAACCAGGACTAATAACAACGTAGGTTCTTACGAAACCGTGCCTGGTAGAAGTTTTCAGATCCTAGTGTACCTAGACGTACCTCTAGGTTTAGTTTACACAAAGACAACAGTGACCTACCTTATAAATGAATGGGTGTTACAAGCAGCGACCCGAGTCATCCGTTCGTTTAGCCCTAAGTTGAGGTTAATCGGAGACAGGAGACATCAGCGAAAATCGTCTTAAGTGAGAAAATTCTGGAATAATAATAGATAACTTATGGACTCTAAACAGGACAGTAGAAATTTCTATAGAACTCCAGGTCGTAAATCCAGGTCTAACTGGAGTCTAAACCAGAGTAAACCAGGGATCTTATAAACAGGGTCTGTTTATATTAGCACCATCGCGGAACAGTTCGTGGCAGAGCAGTGACATCTCTCGTGGGAAACATAACAGGCAGACGGACCCACAATCCTGAGAGAATAGTTACCACAGTGCACCTGCTTGTACGGTTTTTTAAACTCGTCAGGATCCAGATTCACTAGCTACTTGCTTATTAATGACGTTCTATATATACCCTGTTTTCTGTAAAATGCGCTCCCCCTGCGTGTTTGTTTGTGATTTATTTTATTTTTTAAGTTATGACAGGCTTACTCACTTGTTAAGTTTGTTCCTTACTGTTTTTTAGTAGATAACTTACACATATCCGGGGGCAGGAGTATTACTCGAGTAGAAAGTAAAGTATCACATGGGAAAAAAAAAAATAAAATTTCCTTGGCTGTAAGTCACAAAAAGTCATCTAGATAGTTCCTGTTTCTACAAAGATCCTGGGTACTTATAAGAGTTAAGAGAAAGTAAGTACTTGGTTTAGTCGTGTCGGCTGAGATTTATGCAACTAGTTAAGGTCTAATAACCAATGTGAGTATGCATTTCGGGTTTAAAGATATTCTGTAGTCCTGATGTTTGAAGTTGTTTCTGTGGTTAGCTGATTCGTATCTTCCCTCAATGTATATTTCTTGGTAATGTAGCTATTGTGTTTGTTCTCGTCTCTGATAACAGTTCACAGGTTTTAACACGAACCTCAAAAGCATTCGTTTATTATTAACACACAAGTGGCGTATTTTCCATCTTGGCGAGAGTTTAGAAAAAAGTTACGCTTTTTTAACTATTTTAAAATAAGTTGAACGCATGGTTTTAACTTCCGGGCGTCCAGCTCGGGATCACTCGAGAAGCGCCAAAAAGGAGGGAGCGGGTCTTAATCCACCTTCAGTTAGCGTTTATTGTCAGGGAATCATAAAATATAACACAGGATCAGTAAAATAAACGCTAAGTAAAATAAACTAGGATCAAAACCGGGACGGGTTTCTCTCAGTAGCGCAGTGCGCAGCAGTTATTAAATTCTCACGATGCCGAGCTTAATGTATATCCCGAGTTTTTCACATGAAGCCAGTGGAAAGGAGTCTGCCGTTTTGTACGAGAGAAGGAACACCAGACCGAGACGTCAGGTCTGACCATTCTAGGAGGACATCACATCACCTCCTGGTTTAATCCCTGTATAGCTCCAGTTTTTTCTCAATCGGGATTAAGTTGGAGGGGGTTTCTAGTCCAGCTTAATCCAAGGATCTTATATTATCAGTCCTGGTTTAGTTTCAGTTACTAAGGAGCCAGCATCTAATACGCTAGCCTGTACTAAACCTATGGTCTAAAACTGTCTTAGTGTCTAAATCTGCACATAGGTCGGGGGGTTGTGAGTGGCTAGCGGTGCTCCCTAAGAGCTAGTCGAACTTTAAACCTTCTGGTCCAGTCCTGGTCTATCCTGGTTTAGGGAACTATTAAATCGGGGACTAAACCCTGGCTATTAAGGAACTTTACGAGACTCTTAAGGTCGACTCACATACCGAGGAGCTAAGACTGAGGTCTAAATCCGAGGTCTAAACCAGGACTGAACCAGGACTAAACCAGGACTAAACCAGGACTAAACCAGGTCTAAACCAGGACTAAACCAGGACTAAAACCAGGACTAAACCAGGACTAAACCAGGACTAAACCAGGTCTAAACCTAAACAGGTCTAAAACCAGGACTAAAACAGGACTAAACCAGGACTCTAAACCAGGACTAAACCAGGTCTAAACCAGGTCTAAACCAGGTACTACTAAACCAGGACTAACCAGGCTAAACCAGGACTAAACCAGGACTAAACCGGGACTAAACCAGGTCTAAAAGGTCTAAACAGGTCTAAACCAGGACTAAACCGGGACTAAACCGGGACTAAACCAGGACTAAAACCAGGACTAAACCAGGTCTAAACCAGGTCTAAAACAGGTCAAACAGGACTAAACCGGGACTAAACCCAGGTCTAACCAGGTCTAAAAGGACTAAACCAGGACTAAACCAGGTCTAAACAGGACTAAACCGGGACTAAAAGGACTAAACCAGGTCTAAACCAGGACTAAACCAGGTCTAAACCAGGTCTAAAACAGGACTAAACCAGGACTAAACCGGGACTAAACCGGGACTAAACCAGGACTAAACCAGGACTAAAACCAGGACTAAACCGGGACTAAACCAGGACTAAACAGGACTAAACCAGGTCTAAACCAGGACTAAACCAGGTCTAAAACCGGGACTAAACCGGGACTAAAACCGGACTAAACCAGGACTAAACAGGCTAAAGGTCTAAACCGGGACCTAAACCAGGACTAAACCAGGTCTAAAACAGGACTATTTCAGGTCTAAACCAGGACTAAACCAGTATCAGTCTGGGTCTCAGTCTCCGTCTGGTCTTGTTTAGTTTTTTTTTGTTTCCTTGTTTTTTTTTTCATTTTCTTAGTTTTGGTTTTATTTCGAAAAACAAATGAAGAAGTTATATCCAGATTTCGATTAACAAACGGGATTTTGTTTTGTCGTGGCTCCACATACAAAATGTTCTCTGTAAACTCGGGATGATTTAGTCAGACAAATGTTTCCTTTTTGGTTCTTCCTGTGGATCAATCCTGCCCATCACCTTCACCTTTCACTATTTTTCAATTCTGTTGGGAAGAGAAACAGTTTGAACAGAGGTTTGAGTCACACACATCTGATTCACTTTTACAGTTGTGTTTGGTCAAGTGGTAACGGAGGAAACAGGGTCAGATTTTTGACATTCAAATGTCTCTTATTCAGAAACTAGAGGAACTATTGAAATAAGTAAAGTATCAGAATGTAGGAAAGAGTTACACTCCAACAGGGTCAAGTTAAACCTGTGAGATTCTTTCAAGTTGTTCACAAAAAATGTAAAAACTCATGTTCGGTAACGGAGGGAATGAAATATGCAGCACTTTTTGGTCAATAAATCCAAACAGTGATAACTCTTGGTTCTCACTTCCATATCCTTAACAAACTGGTTTGAATATTTGCTTCATATAGTTTTCTACCATATGGTACAAGATTAGGTTGAAAAACTTTTTGACTCATGAGATTTTTTATTAATAAAGTTCATGGTAACGGAGGGAAAAGTAACGGAGGGAAAATTGTACAAACAAGTAGAAGGTGCAGGATTTTACATCATTTGTCACTTTTTCTTCTGAATACTTTAATATTACTTCAAAATGAAAGAAACTATTTCTATAAAACATGTCAGTGCTTCTAGGGCTGGTGTCATTAAGAAGTTGCTGATACGATACATATCTCGATACAGTGAGCTTTAGATTTATTACGATATATTTCAAACCGATTCGACACAGTTCAATAAAAATAAAGGCTAAATCGTGTCTGTGATACTAAAAGTCTTTCTTAAACCACTTTTTGTGCGAAGTTCATATGAAACACAAACATTTTAATCATCAAAACAGTGAAAATGTCAAATATGTTGCATAAAAACGTTTCCTTCCTCTGTAAAGGTTGGCTAAACTGTAGCTCTGTAACAAAATAATTTAGTAAAATAAACCAAAAAATCCTCTTGGTGATAAATCGATACAGCAGCCCACGATATCCAGACTGTATCATCACATTAAGCGATACGATATATCGATATTTCAATATTTTTGCACATCCCTAAGTCCTTCCAAGCAAATTTTTATCATTTTAAACAAAACATTTTTTAAAATCATGAACCTTCATCAACAGTTCAAAGATGGAATAACACAAGATATGATGAAATACATCCATTTATTTACATGATTAACTAAAGAACTTAAGAACCAATATTTATATAAATGAACTGCGTCTCATGATCAATACTACAAATGTGGCTGAAAATTTCTCAACAAAACGTGGCTAATCACACCACCGCAGGATGCTAAAAGACACTCAGAATATCACAAGGCTTTATAGAGCTGGACAGAGACGACAGGGACGCCCCTGTCTCAGACGCCAACAAGAAGGAAAGAGACGTAGAGACTTCAACTCCTCACACCTGCACGTGGTTACCATGACGACGAGATAGAGACTAGTAAAGTCCCAACGCTCGTCATGTCCATTCAAACACTGTCGAGGTCATAGAATCAATCAAAACAACAAACTGCAAACTTGAAACGTACATTTATTCACGATATTAAACTATACTCACCTTTCATTTCAAAGACTTCACTCATATGTTTTTTAATATCTGAGTTTATTCTCAAAATATTGTATATTTTTACAGATAATGCTAAAAAAGAGACCAGCTTAACCTGATACAAAACCATAATGATGAAAACAACACATTATGTCTGGAATAACTCAGGGAGAACGCAGCAGAAAGTGTTTACTACATGAACTGGAGGAAAAATAGGATAATTAATAAAAAAATATGCAGAAACAGAATTGATTAGATTGCTGCAGGAAATGCTTCGTAATATCAATGTCCTGCTTTTAGAAA